TGAGATTGGTTTCTTTCACTCAGCATAATGTCCTTGAAAATCATCCAAATTATTGTCAGTAACAATAGTTCATTTCTTTTTATTGCTGAGTAATATTCCATATTACAGATGCACTATAGTTTCTTTAACCATTGGAGGCCAGTTTGCTTGTTTTCAGTTTTGGGCTATTACAAATGAAGCTGCAGTGAATAATCTTGTACAGGTTTTAGTGTACACGTAAGATTTCATTTCTCTGGGATGAATGCCCACAAGTGCAATTGCTGGGTCATGTGATAACTATTTTAGTTTTTAAAGTAGTTGCCAAACTATTTTCCAGAGTGGCTATACCACTTTCCATTCCCACTGGCAATGTATGAGAGATCTGATTTCTCTGCATCCTCTCCAGCATTTGGTAAAGACCAAACGTCAGAGAAAAGAAAAATAGGTCAAACTTGCCATTTTAAAAAAGCACCAGTTCTAGATGTGTTTATAGCTGAACTTTAAAGAAAATAATATCTATGCCATCTTAATGCATAAAAAGATAGAAATCTCCTGAATTTCTTTTAAAAACTGGCATAACCTTAATACCAATGCTTGTTAAATATAACGCAAAAATAATTATGATTTCTAAGACTTCATGTGGTTCCATGCATTTGTGCTGGTTTTGTTTTGCATGTGTTGAATAACCTTAAAGGTTTATGCCAGTTAATACTACTTTACTGTATATTTTATTATTAAAAGAGGCCCCCCTTTTTTGCTAATCTGTTGTGTGTTTTGGACCTTAATTTCCACCTTGATAATTATATTTTCAGACCTGCTTTCATTTTTCTTGCATTTGACTGGTATATTGTATAATTTTTAAATCCTTATTAAAATATAACATAATACAGAAAAGTATGTACATTGTTCATATTTAGCTTGGTGGTTTTTAACAGACTGAACAAACCTGCATAGCCACCAACTAGATGGAGAAATATCCATTACTCGCTCTCAAGAACCCATGTTTTTGAAATTTATATAAATATAATCATACAACATTGCTTCATTGCTTTTTTGGGTCTGGTTTCTTTGACTTAACATAATTTTCATGAGTTGAGACTCATGCATGTTGAATCTAGCGATTCTTTCTTTTTGTTGTATAGTATTTCTTTGTGTAAATATAGCACAACTTATTTATCCATTCTAATGTTGATGAGTATTTACATAATATCCAGTTTTTTTTGGTTTTTTGTTTTTTTGTTTTTTTTTGAGACAGAGTCTCACTTTGTTGCCCAGGCTAGAGTGAGTGCCGTGGCATCAGCCTGGCTCACAGCAACCTCAATCTCCGGGGCTCAGCGATCCTCCTGCCTCAGCCTCCTGAGTAGCTGGGACTACAGGCATGCGCCACCATGCCCGGCTAATCTTTTGTATATATATTTTTAGTTGGTCAATTAATTTATTTCTATTTTTGGTAGAGACGGGGTCTTGCTCAGGCTGGTTTCAAACTCCTGACCTTGAGCAATCCGCCCGCCTCGGCCTCCCAAAGTGCTAGGATTACAGGCGTGAACCACCACGCCCGGCCAATATCCAGTTTTGAATAAAGCTGCTATGAACATTATTATACTCATCTTTTGGTAAACATATATTCTCATTTCTCTTGGGTATATACCTAGGTATGGAATAGGTGGGTCATAGGATATTGCTTGTGTTCAGCATTAATAGATACTACCAAACAGTTTTCCAAAGTGTCTGTACTATTTTATGCTCCTAACAAGCAATTCGTGAGTTTCAGTTACTCCACATCCTTGCCAGCTCTTGGTTATTTACCAACTTTTTCATTTTAGCCATTTCTGGTAGATACAGAGGACTGTCTTATTGTAGTGTAATTTCTATTTCCTTGCTAACTAATGTAGTTGAGCATCTTTTCATATGTTTATTTTCCATTTGAATATTTTCTTTGTGAAGTGCTTGTTCCTTTTGTTCTTTTTTCTATTGCTCTTATTAATTTCTGGAAAATCTTGATATATTTGGGATTTTAATCATTAGTCAGATACATGTATTGCAGTTAACTTCTCCCACTGATGAACAGAAGTTCTTCATATTTTGTTTTGTTTTGTTTACTTTTTTGGCATTCCTGGGTGGGCATGAACAGAAATCCTTAACTGTAATGTAGTCTAATTTAACAATCTTTTACACTATTAGATATCAGGACTTAATATAAAACACATTGATAAAGAAAGTGTAGACTGAGCATGGTGGCTCACACCTGTAATCCCAGTACTTTGGGAGGCCAAAGAGCTTGAGGCCAGGAGTTTGAGACCAGCCTAGGCAAATACCAAGACCCCGTCTCTACAACAAATAAAAAAATTAGCCAGGCATGGTGGCATGTGCCTGTAGTCCCAGCTACTTGGGAGGCTGAGGAGGGAGGATCTAGGTGTTCAAGGCTACAGTGAGCCATACAGTGAGCAATGATCCTGCCACCACACTCCAGCCTGGGTGACAGAGCAACACTTGCAGAGCAGTGGAGAAAGGGTAGTCTTTTCAATAAGTGGTACTGGGTCATCTTATTTCCACATGGAAGAAAGGAATCTTTTTTTTTTTTTTTTTTGTAGAGATGAAGTCTTGCCATGCTGCTCAGGCTGGTCTTGAACTCCTAGCCTCAAGCAATCCTCCTGCCTTGGCTTCCCAAAGTATTAGGATTATAGGCATGAGCTACCTCACCTGGGAGAATTTTGATTATTTTTATCTATTTCTGGTAGTAATTGCCTTTACCTTCCTTACAAATATGATCATTTATATTTTCTACATTACTAGATTCAAATAATATTGTACCAATATCTGCTCATAGAAACGCGTAGTTTGCCTTCTCATTTTGCTTAGTAAATTTCCCCAGGATATTTAAAAATTTCCAATTTATAGCTTCATTTACTCCAAATGGAAAACTACATGTTTTAAAATTCAGATATAATTATTCAGTTGCTGCAGGAATCATATCTCAAAACTGCTTTCTATTTTGAGGCTTCTGTTATTAAATACTATTCAGTTTATAATTATTTTGACTATTCCCTTGAGTGTTCTGCTGAGATTGGAATATTGGCATTTTACAGTATAAATGCTTTTATGTCTAAAAGTGTTTTTCTTTTGCTCTGACAGAAGAATAGTATCTAGCTGGGGTAGATTGAAGATTCTTGGATCTCAGTCCTTTTCTCTCAAAAATTTGTAGATGTTTTCTTCTAATATGGCTTCTATTGTTGCAGATAAGAAGTCTAGTGCCATTGTGATCCCTTTTCATTGTAAATAATGTGTTGTTTCTGCCTGGGAGATTTTTAGGTTTTTTTTTTTTTTTTTTCTTTCTGTCTCACTCTGTTGCCCGGACTAGAGTGCCGTGGTGTCAGCCTAGCTCACAGCAACCTCAAACTCCTGGGCTCAAGCAATCCCTCTGCTTCAGTCTCTCGAGTAGCTGGGACTACAGGCATGCGCCACCATGCCCAGCTAATTTTTTCTGGGTCTCACTCTTGTTCAGGCTGGTCTCAAACTCCTTAGCTCAAACAATCCACCTGCCTGGGCATCCCAGAGTGCTAGGATTACAGGTGTGAGCCACCACGCCCAGCCAGGTTTTCTTGTTATCCTTTAAATTCAATGTCAAACCAATTCCTCTGGGAGTTGGACTCCTCTGGGAGCCAAGGATTGGGGGGATTTCTATGAGGAAGGATCAATGAGTTAAAGTCCAATAGGATTAGATAATCCAGGGCCTATAGTTGTCATTCATTTGGGGGCAGTGAGTGACAATTTTGAGGAGTCCTTGAAGAGAAATAATTGGAAATATATGTCGGTAAGCGATTGGGACCTCTGTAGAAATTCTTGAGGTTTTATCTGAGTTGGAGATGTAAGTTTCTGAGGTCATTGATTCGGTCCATGAGAGTTTATTTGACTGGGGCACTGAGGTGGTAAATGATTGATTGCAAGCCTGGAATTCTCAAAGGATTACAAGTCTTTCGGAATCAGTTTTTAGGGGCCTGTAGGAATCATGGATTAAGGCCTGTGGACACTGGTTATTCCAGGACTATGTGAGCTGGTATGTGATAGGCTGGAAGGTCTATTACTGAGGGTTTTGTGTGGGTCACTGATTCTGTTGAGGGTGTGTTGCCTGTGTTGTGATTATTTGAGGAGCCTGTGGAAACAAGTCATGACACCACTTGGGATGCAGTTTTTGTCAAGCAGTGTGGGCTAATGATTTAGGAGCCTGTGCAGGTCTGGTTTTCAGGGCCCAGATGGGAATTGCAGGGGAGAGGTGAGTTTATGTTTCATCTTGGACAGAAGAGAGTGGGCTCTGTAAGTTGCCCAGAGTGTATACTGAATTACACAGAAGCTCAGTTTCTGACTTATGACATAGTCATCCCTCAGCCAGAACACTTTGAAGGCAGCAGGCAACATAAATGATGTTTATTGTGATTCTTCCATGTATAGAATAGCATAAGGCTCAGTAGTGAAGAAAATGTGCTTTGGAGCCAGGTATACCTGGATTTGAAGCCCTGTCATTTTTCCTAATCTGAGTGATTTAGGGACAAATTTTTCAGTATTTCTGAATAGCCCTATCTGATGGTAAATGGGAATAATAATGATAGTAATTCCTAGTCCACAGGATGACTGTAAAAACTAAATGAGGTACCTAATAAAACATGCCTTATATTTAATATTAATTGAGTATGCCCCAGGGGCCAGGTAGTTATGAGTGCTTTAGAGGTATCATCTCGTTTAACAAACTTATGAGATAGGTGTTTTCATACTGTTTAAAGATGAAGAAACAGCCAAAAGTGACTTCCTCAGATTCTAGCTGGAATGTAGAAGAGCTGGGATTCAAACCCTCATTCATTTTGCAGCAAATCTCATGAATTCTCCCCATATTCCATCTTAATACTTGGCATTAGTTTTACTGAACTTTATTCCACAACATCCAGGACAGCAAGCTGCCCCTTGGCGCCCCCAGGAAGCGTTTGCGGGTGAATGTGGAGGGACTGACCTTGTGGACACTGTCTTTCCAGGGTTTCTTGGAGCCTCTGCAGAGTCTGGGGGCCAGACCGCTTAGTGGGAACTACAAGATCTTCCTTCCGACCCCAACTTGCTTCACCCCAGCAGCTCTGGTTGAGTCCGCAGATGCCAGCCCAGCTTCAACCCCTGGGACGAGTGGAGCTGTCAGCAGGAGAGCCTGAGGCCTGAGGCCCAGTGTGGACATGGCAGCTAATGGGGACTCTCCCCCATGGTCCTCAGCCCCGGCAGAGGGACATGGCAGTTCATGTGAGGTGAGGACAGAGAGGGCCCCAGGGCCAGGAATTCATTCAGAGAGGAGATACCCCTGACCTGTCCCCAGGGCCTCAGGGCAGGGACAGGTAAGTCACGGGAAGCGGTAGATTCCAGACTTGCTGCCCCAGAAACAGATCAGGATTCTCCACTGAGAGTGAGCACACATGGCTCACCACATCCAGAGCCCCGTGGGCTTCAGCAGAAAATGTGACTTGGCTGATGGAGGGGGGTGTGGAGGGTCCAGCCCCACAGCCTAGGGGAGAGGGAGGCAGCTCCCTGCAGGGTATCTGAGGGTGAGGTCTGGGTGGGAGCCACTCCCCCCACCCCAGCAGGGGCCCTTCACTCTGTACGCGCTCTTTACAGATGACACTCGACACTCCCCATCAGACACCCCTTCGCCCGCCCCCCACTGTCTCTGGGATCTGCTGATTTCTCCTCTATCCTGATTTAGGTGCAGAAAAATCTTTTTTCTTTGCAATTTAGAAACTGACAGGATAGTAGGGTGACCACAGTGTATAGGGCCCTTCAAGCTCTTCCTCCTCCTTTCAAAGGTGAATAAAATGGCCCAAGAAGGCATGTGACTCACGCAGGCCTCTCGAGTTGGCCGTGACGGCCCTAAACCAAAGCCAGGTCCCCTGACTGTGTCCTCTATCCTCAACACACCACAGCTGGGACCAAGTTTCCCACTCAGAGTCCCCTTTGAGATTGTGCAAGCAGGGGAAGACAATGAGTGAGCCAGCCCCTGTGCTACAGCTCCCTCCTTTCAGACCTGCCTGTGGATGCTGTCAGCTCTGGGAAAGCTTGCTTGTCACAGGGGCTCAGGGTCATGTGGTCATTAGGTAATATTACACTTTTAAATATTATTTTGTTTTTTATCATTTTATCACTTTATAATAAAACATTAGAAAGTACAGGTTAGAAAATAGAAGAGAATAATAAATTACTTGTAATTCCAGCATTACCCAAAGTTAACCATGGTTAACATTTAGCTATATTTCCTTTTTCCTTTGTATGTGCATGTGTACATATGTGCGGGTATACGTGTGGGGCTATGAGTGTGCGTGCATACCATATACATACACATATATAGCTGAAACTTTAAAATAGAATCATACTATTTAGTTATCTCCTCTTAAACTCAGCAGGTTAACAATTTTCTAGGCAGTAAATATTTTTCTTCATATATGTATTATGTCTATTTAGCCAGTCCACTTTTTAAAAATTTTATTTTTAATTGACAAATAATAATATATATTTATGGGATACAATGTAATATATATATATATATACACATATATATATATATATATGTTATAGAATGCTTAAGTCAAGATAATTCACATATCCATCACCTCACATACTTTATTTTTTGGTGATATAAACATCTAAAATCTCTCTTAGCATTTTTGAAATATACATTAAATTATTATTAACTATAGTCACCATGCTGTGAAATAGATGTGAAAAAACTTTTTACTTTTGTCTAACAAAAACTGTGTATGCTTTGACCAACACCTCCCCCTCTCCTACAATCAGTCCACTATTAATGTGCATTTAGGGCATTTCAGGTTTTCTGTCATGATTAACAATGCTATGATAGAATTCCTACATTTAAATCTTTTTATTGAAAGTATATTTTGAGTCAAAGGTATAGGGGCATTAAATGGTAAATGAATCAATGCTCAACAGCAGTGCATTTCCACCTCGTCTAAGTTCTGCTCAGTCATAACGGTTACGGACTCACGACGATGTGGTCCTCCCCAGTCTTGCAGATGGCCTCTTGCCCAGCCATGATATGGGGATTTCTAGATGTGTGATTTTGGGCTCTCTAAGGCACATTTCTCCATTCATCTCTTCCTCCCTAACCACGGATCTCTAGCCCTTCTCAAGAAGAGATGGAAATGACCAAGACCCTGGGGAATATTAGTTATTCACTGATTTATTTGCTAGGTTCTTTTTTCCCATTAGCTATCAGGGAGCAGAGTATAGGCAGAGATAGCATGAAACCAATAAAAATGTCCCAGGGGTTGGGGAGCAGCCAGTTGGACCAAGCAGTAGTGGCTGAAGCTGGAGAACAAGCAGAAGGATCAGTGAAAGAAAGGACTGCGGGCAAGCACAGGGGAATGAGGAATAGGGAGAGGCTGCAGGGGCCATGGTACATGTACTGGGGACGGAGAGTAGCCAAGGGGTCGAGGGAACAGATGGAGGCACAATGGAACAAGCAGAGGACATGGGAAACATGAGACGCTGGGTAGCACCCAGAGCCCAAGAAACATTCGTTGAGGCTAGAGAAGTGATTGTTAGGGAACAGGGAAGAGCCAGGGGGTTAAAGAACAGTCAGAAGGATCATGAAATAGGAGGAGGGACCAGGAAATAGAGGAACCTGATAGCAGCCAGACAGAGCAGGGAACATCAGAGGGGTGAGGAATCACAAGAATCAGATGAAATGGAAAAAGCAAAGACGTTCAAGGAGCTGAGGATAAGCCTGAGGGACAAGCAACTTCCCCAGGACCCCGGGGGGGAGCAGTTCCTTAGTTTAGAGGAAAATTTGAGGGTACAGGGAAAAGGCAGAAGTACCAGGGAACAAGAAATGAGAAATATGACCCTGCAAATGGGTAGCAGCCAGAGGGACCAGGATACAATTGCTGAGGCTGTAGAATGAGCAGAGGGATCAGGGTAGGACAGAACCCATGGAACAGGTGGAAAGATGAGAGAGAGCCTCTAAGGCTGAGGAATGGCCTAGGGTGCCAGGGAACACATGCAGCAAGGAGCAGCCACTGAGGTCGGGGAGCAGCCAGAGGGAGCAGCAAAAACATGCTTAGGGGCCGGGCACAGTGGCTCAAGCCTGTAATCCTAGCACTCTGGGAGGTGGAGGCGGGCGGAGCGCTCAAGGTCAGGAGTTCAAAACCAGCCTGAGCAAAGAGTGAGACCCCCATCTCTACCATAAATAGAAAGAAATTAATTGGCCAACTAAAAAAAATATATAGGCCGGGCGCTGTGGCTCACGCCTGTAATCCTAGCTCTTGGGAGGCCGAGGCGGGCGGATTGCTCAAGGTCAGGAGTTCAAAACCAGCCTGAGCAAGAGCGAGACCCCGTCTCTACTATAAATAGAAAGAAATTAATTGGCCAACTGATATATATATATAAAATTAGCCAGGCATGGTGGCACATGCCTGTAGTCCCAGCTACTCGGGAGGCTGAGGCAGAAGGATCACTCAAGCCCAGGAGTGTGAGGTTGCTGTGAGCTAGGCTGACGCCACGGCACTCACTCTAGCCTGGACAACAAAGTGAGACTCTGTCTCAAAAAAAAAAAAATATATATATATATAGAAAAATTAGCCAGGCATGGTGGTGCATGCCTGTAGTCCCAGCTACTTGGGAGGCTAAGACAGAAGGATTGTTTGAGCCCAGGAGTTTAAGGTTGCTGTGAGCTAGGCTGATGCCACAGCACTCTAGCCTGGGCAACAAAGTGAGACTCTGTCTCAAAAAACAAAAAAAACAAAAACAAAAACATGCTTAGGGCAAAGTGTCAACCAGAGGTCCCAGGAAATAACTGGAGGAGGAATTAGAGAACAGGCCAAGTGAGCATTAAATATGTACCTGGTGTGGGGTAGCAGCCTGATGAGTTAGAGACCAGCTAGAGGGACTAGAGAAGAGCCAGAAGGAACAGTATGAATTACTGCCAAGAGTTAGCCAGAGGTCACATGCAGCAGTCACTGGTTAAGGCATACTTGAAGAAGCCAGGGAAAGACCAGGGAATAGCCAGAGTTCTCAGGAATAGGGTTACCAACCATTCTGGTTTGTCTGTGACCGAGGGGACATGGGACTTTCAGTGCCCAAATAGGGAAATCTCTGGGCAAACTGGGATGGTTGGTCACCCTACCCAGGAAACAACCGCAGGAACCAGCCAATAGTCAGACATAATATCAGTAATAGAGACGATGGAAGTACAGAATCCAGACATGGCACAGAGCACACAGAAGTAGTATACGTTAGTGGGTAAGAGTATCGGCTGAGGAGCCAGCTAGACTGGCTCTACTCAAAGTATGGGCCATGGACTAGATACATGAGCAGCATGAGAGAGCATATTAATTAAATGTATTCAAGGAACTGTCCACAGACACGGAAGAATCAGGAGACCAGAGAACAGTCAGAGGAATCCAACAGCAGTCAGTCTATGTGAACCAGACAGAAACAGCTGAAAGGAACAAGAAAGGCCCTTAGGGACCAGGGGACAGTCGGGTGCACTCAGGCACAATCAGAAGAATGATGCCACAGAACAGGGATCAGCTGGAAGGACAACTGTCTAAGGGAACACAGGATAGGAAACAGGAGGCATGAACAGTTAGAGGGATCCAAGTACAGTCAAAGGAAGCAAGTAATAAGAGAATGGGGAAACACTTAGAGGAAATGGTAAACAGATGGACCAAGGAAGAGTCAGAGGGAACAAGAAATGGTCAGATGGGGAACACTCAGAGGGAACAAGGACCAGCGGAGAGAGGGAGCAGGGAGATGTCTGGGGAAGCAGAAAACAGCTGGGAGTGGGGACTAGAGAGGGAGGAGCAGTTGCAGGGACACAGAGAACAGTCCAGGAAACTGGGTATAGCCAGATGAGTAAGGACCAGCCAGAGGGAGCAGCACGCTGGCTACCAACTTGTCCCCTGAGACAGAACACCCATGTACACAAGTTATCTGGAGCAGATTTGTTACAGATAGGCAGCAACTGACAACGGCAGCATTGGATTCATTGCGAACTGGTCCCTCCAGGCTCAGGAAAGCTTCTCAGGGTGCGTGGAGTCTTATCTGTGTGTACACCACTTGCACCGCTGCTGGGGGACCCTAGAAAGCACTTGCCCTGGATTTTATAACTCAGGGCAACCCAATACCCAGGGCTAAAGTATTGAAGGTTGAAGGACATCCTGTTCCTAGAAGGGACTGGAGCAGAGCTCCTGGCTGTTTGGCCAGTCCCTCCACAGCTCAGGATGTTACATTCCCTGGG